GATTGGTAATTAACTCCATGGTGGAATCTATTGGAGCAGCTGAGTAGCTGCTTTGGGTATGTGGTTTGCTTCCCATATATAAGAAACTGCTTTGGGAACAGTGTATAGCTTATGGCACTCTTGAATCCTGCATGTAGCTGTGTCGTTGTTCAGTAGCCTGCCATGCTCTGCCAACCTTGGGACTTTTAATGGACTTGAATGAATGGCCTGCCATGTGGTTTGGTAACATCGGGACTGTGCCTTTTTACTTGTCAACCTTGGGCTTGTCAGCCTCAGCAGCCAGCAGCTGAGTGAAGAAAAGCCTCCAGCTTCAGTGGGCCAGGAGCAGGAGGCAGAGCTGAAGGCCAAGGTTGAGGGGCTTTCACCCAGCCCCTAGAGCCTGGCACTTTGAACTCGGACTTAAAGCCTCCAAATTATAAGAATACACTCCTGTTTGTTAAGGCCATTCCATTTGTGGTATATTCCTGTCAGAGCAGCAGTAGGTAATCAGAACACAGGTAGTTCAACTTAAGGGGTTGTGAAACAACTCTTAACCAGATAGCTTCAGTGTGTCAAATGGCTTCTGGAAACCAGGCCCCGTCCTTCTGGCAACCACACCAAACCAACTCACTGACATCAAGTTGATTCTGACTCCTAGCGACCCCCATTGGCTTTCCAAGGCTGCAAATCCTTACAAAAGTAGACTGCCTCATTTTTCTTCCACTGAGCGGCTGGTGGGTTTGAACCAACAACCTTTTGGGTAGCAGCCAAATGCTTTAATCACTACACCACCAGAACTCCCTCCTTCTGACAAAATGCTTCCTTTTCTAAGAAGAAATGTTGTAATTGTTGTTGTTTATTCAGTCTTTTTTTTTTTTTTTTTTCAGTCGTTCCTTCATTTCTTAGTTCAGCAAATGTTTTTTTATGGCAGGCCCTAGAAATAGAAAACCTGTTGCGGTCAAGTAGACTCTGTAATAGTCATAGGGACCCTATAGGATAGAGTAGAACTGCCTCATAGGGTTCCCAAGGATGTAGTCTCTAGAGGAGTAGATCACCAGGGCTTCCTCCCATGGAGCTGCTAGTGGGTTTGAATCACTGACCTTTCAATTAGCAGTCGAGCACTTACCCACTGTGCCAGCAGGGCTCCTCAGACATATAAAGTAACCCCAATATGGACTCTGCCTCAAGCAGCTGGCTGTAGTACGAGCGAGACAGACACCTAAACAAAGAAGCACCATAAATTTTAAAATCTCAAAGACAATTGATACTCATTATTAAAATGGGGATGTCTTTCAAAAATTCTATAAATTTCCAAGCCTTGTTGTTGGAATTTTTTTCAATGTAGTAAATATGCATATAACAGTGTAGAACCCCTTATAAGAAAGGGTTAATCATAAGACTGAAGTAGGACCTGTGCTCAGATGTCACTTTGTCTACCATGGACTGAATTGTGTCCCCCCAAAATATGTGTTCACTTGGCTGGGCCATGATTCTCAGTGGTTTGGCAGTTATCTAATGATGTAAAGCAGCAGTTAGGTCATGATCCCCCATGATGTGATATGATGTGATAAACTCATCATCTGTAAAAAGGATTAGGGTGAAACGTAGCACCCTTAATCCCATCACAGCCCTGATCCAATGTAAGGGGAGTTTTCTTGGGGTGTGGCCTGCATCACCTTTTATCAAGACAAAAAAGGAGAGAGAAGTGAGTGGAAAGAGGGACCTACTGTCACCGAGAAAGAAGAGCCAGGAGCTGAGAACATCCTTTGGACCCAGGGTCCCTGCGCTGGGAACCTCCTGGAACCAGGAGACATGAAGTTAGAAAGCCTTCTCCTACAACTGGCACTTGAAATTTGGATTTCTTCCTTCCTAAACTGTGGAAGAATCAGCTGTGTTTGTTAAAGCCGTCCATTTGTGGTATTTCTGTTACAGCAGCACAGCCTCCCGAGTAGGCCTCCCTGATTGCACCCTGATGGCTTGAGAGTCCCTCCCGTGCATGCTCACAGCAGCACACCCTTTCCTCTGGTTCCATGTATTGATCGAATATTTATGGTATTGTCCCTTTACTGTCACCACCACCCCTAAACACACACAAGAGAATGTCCCTCAAGAGTGGCCACATTTTACTGTTGTATCCACAGCATCAGAACCATGCCTAAGGCATGGTACTTGAAAATGATAAATGATTATGTGGAGTTGTTGTTTTTGTTGTTAAGTGCTGTCGGGTCGTTTCCGACTCATAGCGACCCCATGCACAGCAGAACGAAACACTGCCCGATCCCGCGCCAGCCCCACAATCCCTGCTATACTTGAGCCCATCATCGCAGCCACCGTATCAATCCATCTCATTGAAGGCCTCCCCCTCTTTCGTCGACCCTCCACCCTACCAAGCATGACATCCTTCTCCAGGGAATGGTCCCTTCTTACAACATGACCAAAATAGGTGAGACGAAGTCTGGCCATTCTTGCCTCCAAGGAGCATTCTGGCTGCACTTCCTCCAGGACAGATCTGTTAGTTCTTTTAGCAGTCCATGGTACTTTCAGCATTCTTCGCCAGCACCACAACTCAAAAGCATCAACTCTTCTTCGGTCTTCCTTATTCATTGTCCAGCTCTCACATGCATACGAGGCGATTGGAAATATCATGGCTTGTGTCAGGCACACCTTAGTCCTCAATGAGATATCCTTGCTCCTCAGCACTTGAAACAGTTCCTTCGCAGTTGACTTTCCCAATGCTACACGTCGTCTAATGTCCTGACTGCTGCTTCTGTTGGCATCGATTGTAGAACCAAGCAATGTGAATTCCTTGACAACCTCAATCTTCTCTCCATTTATTGTGATGCTGCTCATTGGTCCAGTTGTGAGGATTTTTGTTTTCTTTATGTTGAGACGTAATCCATACTGCAGACTGTATTCTTCAACCTTCATCAGTAGGTGCGTTAAGTCATCCTCACTTTCAGCAAGCAAAGATTATGTGGAGAGGAAGCCGATATTTGCAGCTATATGTCCATGTAATAAAAACTGCTTTTGTTCCCCACAGTATGTTAAATATAAAAAATAGGTAACAAAAAGTGCATATATTCTTATTTAAAAATATAAACATATTAACACATTTAATATATCAATGTTGTTGTTGTTGTTATGTGCCGTCAAGTGGGACCCAACTCATAGCAACCCCTCCTTGGGTTTCCGAGGCAGTATCACTACAGAAGTAGATTGCCCCATTTTCCTTCCAAGGAGTGGCTGGTGGGCTTGAACCACCAGCCTTCTGGTTAGCAGTCAAGTGCCTTAGGCACTATGCTACCAGATCTCCCAATATATATATATATAGCATACTGAAATAGATACTCATAGAAAACATATGGAAAGACACTCACCACAATGCGAGCAGTGGTTATCTCTAACTGTTGGGATTGGAAGGTTGACTTCTTCATTTGTGCAACACTGAGTCGTTTGCTATTTTAGCATAGGCGTGTGCTACTATTATGATAAGAGAGAAAGAAAGCTATATGTATTTTAGAAAGGAAATGTTGGCCTGTTTCGTAAGCAATAAGCATAAGACATAAGCAACCTTAGGAAACATCATCTTTGCCATCTAAATCAACTGTTGTCAGTGATCTGCCTTTGTGGGTTCCATTAACTGGACTAGCATGGTGGAGTGTTTAGTGCTATTAGATTGGTTTATTTCTATTTTCCTTTCTTGTGTCTGTGTTTATAATATTCTGTAGGTACCCAAACATTGGAATCCCTGGGTGGTGCAGACAGGTTAATGAGCTTCGCTACTAACCAAAAGGTTGGCAGTTCTGGTCCACTCAAAGGTGTCTAAGTGAAAGAAAGGCCTAGCGGTCTACTTCTGAACATGCAGCTGTGGGAAACCACCCTGTGCAGTGCACTTCTACCCTGACACACGTGGGGTCGCCATGAGTCAGAGTCAACTCGATGGCAACTAGTTTCCTCCAAGCATCATTGACTTGAACATGTTCTGACAATGAAAAGTGCTGAATTTTCTCTTTTGATCTCTCTTCTTCTCCTTTAGTTTGCCCCACTAATACTTGGCTTGGGGGTTGTTGTTATCTGCCCCTGCCTCCTAACAACCCCCTGCATCACAAAATCAAAGACTGCCCAGTCCTGTCTCACCCCTGCGATCAGTTTGGGGTTTACCTTTGTGGTCTGTAGAGTTTTCATGGGTGGATTTTCAGAAGTAGATCTCCAGTTCTTTCTTCCTAGTCTGTCTTAGTCTGGAAACTCCACAGAAACCTGTTCAGCATCACAGCAGCAAACAGAGCTTCTGTTGACAGATGGGTGGTGGCAGCACACAGGGTATGTTGGCCAGGATTGAATACAAGAAGAGAATTTGACCACTGAATCACCAGGGCTTTGGGTTGAGTATTGTTTTTGTTGTCATGTATCATTGAGTCAACTCTGACTCAGAGTGACCCTATAGGACCAAGTTTCCTACACTGTTGTATTTACTAGAGTAATACACCGGTTCTTTTCTCCCTCAGAGTGACTGGGTGGGTTCAAATTGCCAACTTTTGAGTTAGCAGGTGAATGCTTAACCATTATGCCACCAGAGCCCCTTTGATTGGCTATTGGAAACCCAGTATTCTTAGATCCAGGCTCAAGCTCTTACAAATGGATAAGTCAGAACTAACCAACCCCCTCCCATACCTGCCTTCTCTATGTCTATCTCTGTTCCTCTCTCTCAACCTCTCTCTGTCTCTGTTGCTCTCTTTCTGACTCACTGACTGACTTTCCTTATCAATCTATGCTTTCAAGTTGGCTCTGTATGAAGAAGATCAGCTTCCTGGTCAGTGCTATTTGCACTCTTCATCTTCTGCCTGCCTGTCTTTATCCCCTTGTGTTTGGCTGACTGCTACATTAAAATTTAGACAATATTGCTGGGCTAGAGTGGAGCTTGCTTTTTGTTTCCCTCTTTCTCAAAGGAGCAATCGTAAATATAAAAGGTGCCCCTAAAGCAAAGCTCTAAGAATGACATATATTTTCTGTTCTATCTTCAGCTGAATTCTTGCCGCCAGTATGGGGAAACAGAACAGCAAGCTGCGCCCGGAAGTCATGCAGGACTTACTTGAAAGCACGGACTTTACAGAGCATGAGATCCAGGAGTGGTACAAAGGCTTCCTGAGAGACTGCCCCAGTGGCCATTTGTCAATGGAAGAATTTAAGAAAATTTATGGGAACTTTTTCCCTTATGGGGATGCTTCCAAATTTGCGGAGCATGTCTTCCGTACCTTCGACGCCAATGGGGATGGGACAATAGACTTCAGGGAATTCATCATAGCCCTGAGTGTCACGTCGAGGGGGAAGCTGGAGCAGAAGCTGAAATGGGCCTTCAGCATGTACGACCTGGACGGCAATGGCTACATCAGCAAGGCGGAAATGCTAGAGATTGTCCAGGTATGTAAGTCCTTTAGAAAGAGCTGCGTCCCAGGTAAGAATCCGACGGTGCACAGCGTGTCCTATCGCAGAGGTCGCAAACGGTTGGCCTACCCTCCTAAAAAAAAAAAAGAACCCACATTATGGAAAGGGAGATGGCACATCACAATCTAAATTTGTGGGCATCTCTTGAAAAAGCAAAAGCTCTGGCATCACTGAGCCCACGTTCTTGCCTGACATCAGTCACCACACCTACAGATGAATATGTCTCTTCAGTCGCCAAGCTCCCTGTGGCCACTCCATGTACTCACTGCCATGACCTGCCTTTGGGACTGTTTACCTGGGAGTAAAATCCTGACTCTTTCACTCACCACTTCTGTGACTTTGACAAAGTTAATTCACTTAAGTGAGCTTCATCCTTGCACATAAAGTGGAACTACCAGTGGTATCCACCCATGTTATGAGGTTATTTTAACACTAGATGTGTCGTCCCATGTTCAATGCTTGGCACCAAACTCACTGCCGTTGAGTCGGATCTGACTCACAGTGACCCCCTCCTTGGGTTTCTGAGGTGGTATCTCTATGGAAGTAGACACCCAATCTTCCTTTCGTGGAGTGGCTCCTGGGTTTGAACCACCAGCCTTCTGGTCAGCAGTCCAATGCCTTAGGCACTATGCCACCAGAGCTCCTGATGCTTAGCACAGTGCTTGTTGTCACAGAAAAGCTCATCATCTCACCATCATTAACTTACAGCTTTATTAGTCTCTTGAATAAGAGCAGGAATCTTGACTCCAAGTCTCTCCTATCGGAGATAGAGGCCTCTGTCCCTTTGATAGGAGTCACTTCATTTTATTTCCCTAAAATAACTCCCAGAGTGAATTCCTTGAACAGAATAGAAGAAGAGGTAGAAATCAACAAACCTGTGGGGAGGTGGTGGAGGGAGGGAAAGAGCTATGGTCATGGCTTGATCAGCGGTGGTGGGACCCAGAGACAAATCTAAGGGGGGGGGGCAGGAAGATCAGGGAGCTCGGACTGCAGACAGGAGGAAGGACTGGTGGGCAGGCACACCAGAGAGGGCGGGGGCACAGCAGGGAAGCTTCTGGCAGCAGGCAGTGGGCCAACAAAGCGAGCATTTGGCTTTTTCGAAAGCTGGTAACGGAGGCCAGCTCTCATACCAGAACACCTGGATTCACACCTCTGCAGGCCCTGGGAGAATGGGTAGGGTGCTGGGTGGGTGGGGGAGTGTAAGACACAAAGAGATAAGAAGACCCAGTGAGGAATAGGGTGCAGTGGCATTTGCTTTTTATGGGAACTCCTCGGAAGGAAGGTTGGGCAATCCTACTTCCGTAGTGATACTGCCTCGGAAACCCAAGGAGGGGTCGCTATGAGTCGGGTTTGACTCAACAGCACATAACAACAACAACAACAACAACAGGGACAAAGATAGATAGACCTGCAAGACTGTTACTGAGCCTTGGAGTGTTGGCCTGGGGCCTGGTCCCAGGCCTGTGGGACTGAACCCACATGAGGAATTAAGAAGAGACAGCTGCAAAGGCTGGAAGGATGCAAGAATCCAAATGGTCCCTGCTCATCAGGAAGCTCTCAAGATCTGCCGACTGGTCCTCTTTTGTGCTTGGGCCAGCGGTCGCTTTTCTTCCACCCAGAGCAAAAATGACCTTGATTCATCTGTGAAATTAATCCCCCAGAGACATGGTTCATAAATAAAAATAAAGATTCTTCTCCCTTGAGGATAAAAGTAATGAGAATATAGTGTCTAGTGTAAAAATATGGACAGTTTAGAAACATATGAGAAAGATTAGAACAGTCCTCATGGTCTCACCCTACCCACAAAGAGAATCACTGCTAATAAGTTAATATATCCTCCCAGTCCTAGTTCCTTGCATTTAAAAATATCTAGTTGATTTCATAAAGTATATGAGGTTTTGTATCTTACCATTTTCATTCAGCATAGTAACACAAACATTTCTCATGTTATAAAAACTTTCATTAAAAATATTAGAATGGCAGCATGGTCCCTGGGTGGTGCCGAAGATTAAGGTGCTCCACTGCTGATCAAAAGGTTGGTGGTTCCACCCAGAGATCCTTGGAAGAAAGACCTGCAGATGTACTTCCAAAAATTCTGACCCTGAAAATTCTGTGGAGCACAGTTTTACTCTGACATGTGTGGAGTCACCATGAGTCAGCGTCTACACAACAACACATTTAAAAAAAAAAAAGTCTGTATAATAGTCCTACAATATATTATAAGCCAAAACCAAACCCACTAACATCAAGTCAACTCTGACTCATAGTGACCTTATTGGACAGAGTAGAACTGCCCCATAGTGTTTCCAAGGCTGTAAATCTTTGCGGCAGTAGATGCCTCATCTTTCTGCCAACCCACAGAACAGCTGGTGGGTTGGATGCTGACTTTTTGTTTAGCATCTGAATACCTTAACCACTACACCGCCAGACCTCCTTACAATATAGTTTACGTCGTTTAATTTTCCCTTAATGTTGGATATTCAGGTTGTTTCCACCTTTGTGTTATTATACATAAAACTACAACTTTAAAAAATAAAATAACAAAAAATTATTCTTGCACATTAATGTTTTTCTGTGTTCAGGATTATTTTCTTAGACAGGGTACCCACAAGTGCAAATACTAGGCCAGGGTAGAAACATTTCTAGGGCTACTGATCGAGTCTGCCAAATTATTTTTTCAAATAAAGTTCCAAAGTGTATGAGAAGTGTCCCCATATCATTTTTCTTAATCTTCACTAATTAAGAAAATAACAATAAATATTATTAAAAAGTAGCTTCTGTTGAATTAGCTTTGCTTTATGTCTGTCTTCTGTCTGGGAATAGTAGTCTCTTTCTCTCCGTTTTCTGCCTCACTGCAACAAACATTGTTTTCAGTTGCCATCGAGTCAAAATTGACTCGATGTATGCAGAATAGAACTGTTCCATAGGGTTTTCAAGGCTGTGACATTTTGGAAGCACAACGCCAGTCCTCTCTTCCAAGGCACTTTGGGTGGTTTCAAGTTGCCAGGTTTTCTGCTAGTAGTCAATTGCTCAACCATTTGTGCCACCCAGGGACGCCTTCTGCAATGACAAGGAGGGATATGTTTCACTTTCGGAGAGAAGAATTGTTTCCTGATTGGGTTCTAAGAAAAAAAAAATGTCCTCAGCACTGTGTTATCTCCTGCTTACCATTTTTGCACAGATCTCCTGGCTGCTCTTGTTCAAGGAGTTCCCGGCTAATATTGATATAGATAAGGAGGCCTGGTGACACAGTGGTTAAGCACTTGGCTGCTAACAAACAATTTAAACTCACCAGCTACTCTGTGGGAGAAAGATGTGGCTGTCTGCTTCCATAAGCAACCTTGGAATCCCTACGGGGCAGTTCTACTGTGTCCTATAGGGTCGCTGTGAGTTAGAATCTACTTGACAATAATGGATTTTTGGGGGGGCGGTTGTTGGTGTAGGTGTAGACACCTAGGCAGGGAGGGACCTCATGAACCGATGAATATCACTCATGCATTCGTTCACCACCTATTGTTAAGCACCAACTAAACTGGAACTGGAAATAAATACAGTCTGTGGTATGGAGATAAATCCCTGTAGAATGGAACCCACTTTCATGAGAGAGAGTAGGACAGTTGTAGAGAACGAGCAAAACGTGCTAGCCAGCACTTAGTGAGCCATGCCGACTTACACCCTACTCGTGATGGAGTAAAAAAGGTGAGGACAAAAATGCAGAGCATTCACTCTGATAGAGGCCTTGTCTTTACAGTAAAGCACCTCAGCCCATTGACAAGCCCCGAGTGAGTTTCCAGGTCATAATTGTAAGGACACACATTCCTTCATCCGTCTTGTACACTTGTACTTTTTAAACTGAAAACTCCGATTTCTCCCAGTGTTTCCTCAGCTCTACATCCTGATGACTGATACTCATAACCACAAGAAACACTGCGGCATCCTGAGGTGACTTCCAAACCACCGAGATTAAATTCAATTTAGAACCATTTTCATATTAAGGGCTATGCTATTCTGTTCTGCTACTTTACAAACTAACAAGCCCTGTATTCTGTTACATTCATATGATAATCTCCCTGCTTTCCATTATTCTGGATAAATTAGAATTTGCAGTAGGATCTTACTGAATTCCCCATTCTATTTTTTTCCTCTCTGTTTTCCTCTTTGAAAGCCCACACTCTAGAAATAGACTCAATGGCACCCAACAGCAACATTTTCCATCATGTCGTTCCCAACTGAAACAAAACCCAAGAACAGCCCAACTTCTTAAAAGATGAAGCACAAAAAAGCAATGGAAGGACGCTACCATCATCACTTTTCAAAGAGGACCACATTTACCAAATGATTCCCCATTGAAACCATCCTTAGCTGTAAAAGAAAAGGGTTATTTATTGTACAGAAACCTAAATACACAACACAAAATGAACCCTTTCTAAGATACAAGACTTTTTTTTTAACATAAATGTTGCATATACAAAAAAAAAAAAAAAAAAGAAAGCCCACATTCTAGGCCATGTCATTGTCACAACTAACTGTGCCTTTTTGTGAGTCCTCATTTCATGGTTTTAGCTGATCTGCCCACCACTTGTCTGTTAGTTTGTCATATTGGGGTGGATTGTGTGTTGCTGTGAGGCTGGAGGCTATGCCACCAGAATTTCAAATACCAGCAGGGTCATCCATGATGGACTGGTTTCAGCAGAGCTTCCAGGCTAAGACAGACTCAGAAGAAGGAAAGGGCCATCCACTTCTCAAAGAGTTGGCAGTGAAAACCTTATGAATAGCAGTGAAACACTGTCTGATATATTACTGGAAAACTTTATGAATAGCCCTGAAACATTGTCCGATATAGTGCTAGAAGATGAGCCCCTTATGTCAGAAGGCACTCAAAATACAACTGGGAAGAGCTGCCTCCTCAAAGTAGAGTCAAACTCAATGATGTGCATGGAGTAAAGCTTTTTGCTGATGTGGCACAATGCATAATG